ATCAAAATAATGTTTTTAGTTTAACCAAATATGTTGTTTTAATATAAGAAAAAAGTTGTTAATTAAATAACAAGCTTTGATATCAAATGAAACAATAAAAGTGAATGGTCAATAATTTTTTTTTTTTGGAACGGTCAATAATTGATCTCTACAAGTTTTTATTTTTTCAAATCTTTCAAAATTACATATTTATCAATGAGATCAAATGTTTATATAAGGATCTCTTTGTAAATATAATCTGCAAATTTTCTCCAAATCATTTGGATGGTAAATAAATGGAAGGTCGTAATCCAGGATCTGCTAGAAGATTATGATCAAATTAATCTTTAAATGATGATAATTTAAAGAAAGTTACTTAGAATTTGATTCGTTTTCTAGCTTTCTTCAACGTCTCAAAGAAGCTTACGTATTTATGTATCCCAACATATTTAAATTAATTTGTTGCAGTTATTTATTTATTTTTTATTTGATTGGGTTGCATTTAGGTAAGCTTTTAAGCCATTAAGACTAACCCTTCCTTCCACGTTAAATAACAATAAAATATTATAGAAATGAAAGTTATTTTTCTTCATAGCTTAAACATTTAATTTGAGCACCTTAAAGTTGATATACAACAAAAATTTTTTTTTCCTAAAATATAAGAAAACAACAATTAATCTATGAGAAATTCATTATTCTTGAATGACAATCCTATAGTTTTAATGTTATGTAAAATTGTAAACTGTCACATAAAATTGTAATTGTAAGTTTATAATCTTATGTGGCATTATATAACATGTGATGTAATATTAAACGAGTAAATTCATATAATATTATGGATGATTCTTAAATAAAAATAGTTAATTATATAATAATATATTATATTATAAATTTATAATACTCGTACCATCACAAGTATAGTATTTTTTATTCTAGATTAGGGAGAGTACCAAATTTTTAGGTGAAATTTTCATATCTTATTATTTTTTTAGATATTACAGTATTTAATTTTAAGATAGTTTAAAGAGAAATTATTCTTGTAATTTGCATAAACTAACCCAAAACTCTAATTGTATATATATATTTTTAAAAAAAGATGGATTGGAAATATGCAATCCTCTCAAATCACCTTTCCGGCAAAATCTTATTTTTAACCCTTTATTTTATTAGATCTATTGATTTTAGTCCCTCACCTATTAGAATTAAAGAAAATAGCTCTCACTTATAACATTTTGTTAGTCCTGTTAGCTGACCATTAACTCTATTAGCTGACTATTAACTGATTATTAATTGACAAAAACCTACTTTCAGCTAATATAGTTAGCAGTCAATTAATAGATTTGTTAATTAGACTGTTAACTTTATTAATTGATTGTTAACAAACTATTAGCCGACAAAAACCAATTTTCAACTAATAGAATTAATAGTCGGCTAACAGAATTAACAATCAGTTAACAAAACTAACGAAAAATTATAAAATGAGAGCTATTTTCTTTAATTCTAATAGGTAAAGGGCTAAAAGCATTATAATACAAAGTGAAGGGCTAAAATCTACAAATTTAGTAAAATAAAAGACTAAAAATAGGTTTTTACCCACTTTTCCATGCAGTCCTCCCACATAACTTTTCCACGCAGTCCTCCCATATCACTTTTCCATTCAGTCCTCTCACGTCACATTTCCCACTCATATTGCATGTTTACGATGACTTTAACACATGACCTAACACTTTAGTGAAAGGCACAAACTATTCTAGCTAAGAACAAAACTATTTTACAATAATCTCCAAACAAAAAAAAAAGTATTGTATAGTTTTAAATTGTAAAATATTAATTATTCAATGAAAGAGAATTCCTTGATATCAAGGGCTCTCATTAAACAATTCTTATTTTTATAGTTTAAAATAATTTTAACTGTGAAACAAAACATCCATCTTCAAAAATACATTTAAAATAAAGAGTCAAAGACTCAAATGAATGAGAAATACCAAAGTAGTCAATTTCGTTTCGTACCAGCTGGTATGGCCGGTACATATCGGTTTTTTACATTAACAGAAACAATACATAATGCAATTTCGTTTTGGTCAAAATTCGGATATTTCGGTCAAAATTCGATGTGCCGGCC